GTGCAATTCTCTTCAGTGGAGTAAAATTTCTTGAAATATGTTAGTATGTACAAAAATCGTATTGTATGTTTCGGTTCCTACCATTTACTATACACTTTAGAATTGATCTATTTGGTCATGCCATACAGTGTGTGAGACATTTAAAAGCGTTGTAAAAAATGTGAAATTCCAATAAAATTGGAAATTTCAGTCCACATTGAGAAAAAGAGAGAGGGGAGAGAGAAGAAGGCTCACTTGTACTTACTGTTTTGGAATGCTTTCTGTCACCATACATAATTATTGAAAGCCGTAATTTGTGGATAATAATATGAACAGTGAAACTCAGCAGTAGTAGTAGCGGTAGCGGTAGAAATTTGCTGATTATAAAGGTACACTAAACAGATGATAAACCCCAAAGGCTTCCGACTCTCCTTAATGTATTACATTAATCATATTAATTTGCTGTTTCAGGATGCTACAGTTGGCGCATTATTCCCATGAAACAGCAGAGCCCCAGTACCAGCACCGCTCCTTCTCTGGGTTCGGGCTTGGGTCTCAGCGCAGCTCAGCCTCACTATCACGGGATTCCCCTTTCCTTTTCCCCTCGAAGCTGGAACCACCTACAGGATTCTCGGACTCAGTTGAGTTGAGTGAAGCTGAATGTGATTTGGATGCCGCTCGTGGTGTTAAACCCTCCTCTCTCCATCCTCATAAATTGGACACTCGGGACTTTACCATTGCTGTTTGATTATAAACGAGTGATGGTTTTATAAAGTGTATTTATGTGGAAAAACTTATCTGTGATGGTTTCTACCAATTATTTTGCAAATTCTTGCTTCAGGAGACATCTGTGAAAGTAATCTGTAACAACAACCTGCCATGAGAGAGATTGGATTAACTTAATTTATTTATGTTCTGTAAATGTGTGTGTGCTAGGCTTTTTGCGAAAATCTGATAATAATATTTTTGTTGTTTTATATTTATGCGAGTGAAGTAAGAAAAACTAAAAATTAAAGTTTTTATTTAATGACACAATTGTTTTGACTGCCGTTTATACAATTGTCACTCATCTTCTTTTAATTCTTCAGAGTTCCTTTTATTTCTGAAAAAATATAATCGTGTCGTTATTGTTGCTCACAATGCAAAGAAATGCAAAATATTGTCCTCCAAAACATTGATTTGAGCTCTGTATAAGAAGACTCTCGATTTTGAAACAGATACTCAAGTCTATCTAAGGTACCCTGGTGTTTGAAAAATAATGTGTCCTCTGTAAATGTAGGACCATTTAACTAGAAAGTGAATCAAATGTGTTATACACCAAAAGCATTCGCTCAGACTTGACTTTTTCAAGAAGCAGATTGAAATCCATTAAAATGCTCCTCAAATTTGAATCAATGGAGTGATATTGGATTAATGATTTTTCTCAATAGATTTTTGTCTGGAGGAATTATAGAAATGTAGAGAAGAGAAAGCTTGCATAAAAATCAAGAAAGGAAGCTTCAATACACGAAAGGGTGTTGTTGATTAATAATGTTGTGGAACACTATTTTTGAAACATCCATGTGACCCAGGACAAGGTGAATCTAACTCCATAATTTTAATATTATAATTACGTAATTAATTAATTAAACGCTTTTCATTTTATCAGAAAGATGAACTTAAGTTAATTCTATGACATTAATTTGTTGATATCTCCCTTTCTTGTCAATGTGCGTGTGTGTGTTTGTGTGTGTAGCTGTTGACAAAGTGCTTCCCTAACACGTTTCTTTGAAAACATTTTCGGAAGTTATTTAATGAATTATACGTATTTATAAAAATGTACTATTTTCCTGACATTTCTTACTTAACATGTGTTTGGCAGTGTGAAGTCTGCACTAAGAGTAATAAGAAATATTTTCAGATAAAAAGAGAACACATGCTAGGGGTTTATTTTTCCAAGAGGAGGATTTCTCAAATTAAAAGATAATGCTAAAATCGGTTTTTTGTATTATGCGTTGCATACTCTTGGTTTAAACTCATTTTTATCTCGATCTCTTCTACTATATGTGGAAATGTTAATTACTGAATCATTATATTTTCATGAATTTTTCACATTAATAGATAGTTTTGTCATTGTTATTTGCAGTTGCCTCAACATCCCTAAATTTCAGTTGCTGATGCAATTTTAATTTAAATTGTGATTGTAGTTCCTAGGTTTATTATTATTATTATTATTATTATTATTATTATTATTATTATTATTATTATTACTACTACTGTTGTTGCTGTTGTAATCGTAGTTGTTATTGTTTCATGATTATAGGCGCCAAACCCTTCGCCTCCCCTTCAATAAATTTTGGAAGGTGCCACCCCACCCAAATTGGATATAATCATTAACCATCGTTAATGAAACACGGAAAATAATGTGAGCTTTGATTGTAAATCGGGTGGATTAGGACGATATAGAGGATGTCCGGAAGCAATAATAAAAAAAATATTGCAGATTCAATGTTGAATTTCACTAAGAATAACAGAACCAGTTTTTTTTTTTTTTTTTTTTTTTTTTTTTTTT